CACAGTCCACAGTTTCAGCAAGAGCTCACTGTCACTTGCAACAATGTACTTAGAGATGAGCGAATTATTCAAAAATTCGATTCGGCTGATTCGCCGAATTTGCGGGAGAAATTCGATTTGATGCGAATTTATTCACCGCGAATTTAACTTATTAAAAGGGTTTCTAAGCTTCAGAGAGCCTTTATATTAGTGCATAACACTGTACCTTTAATTTAAATGCCCTTGGAGTCTGCTGGGGAAGAGAAATAATACTGTCAGTCAGTATGACATGCAGATGAGTGCCGTCGATCTAGAATCACCGCACACTTCACTCATTTGGGCAGTCACGGGGCACGACGAAGAATGAAAAATGAAGAAGAAGAAGAAGAAAGAATGAAAAGAAGAAGAAGAAGAAGAATGAAAAGAAGAATGAAAAGAAGAAGAAGAAGAAGAATGAAAAGAAGAATGAAAAAGAAGAAAAGAAGAAGAAGAATGAAAAAAAAGAAGAATGAAAAGAAGAAGAAGAAGAATGAGAAGAAGAATGAAAAGAAGAAGAATGAAAAGAAGAATGAGAAAGAATGAAAAGAAGAAGAAGAAGAATGAAAAGAAGAAGAAGAATGAAAAGAAGAATGAGAGAAGAAGAATGAAAAGAAGAATGAAAAAAGAATGAAAAGAAGAATGAAAAGAAGAATGAAAAGAAGAATGAGAAGAATGAAAAGAAGAATGAAAAGAAGAATGAAAAGAAGAAGAAGAAGAAGAAGAATGAAAAGAAGAAGAATGAAAAGAAGAAGAAGAAGAATGAAAAGAAGAAGAAGAAGAAAAGAAGAATGAAAAGAAGAGAATGAAAAGAAGAATGAAAAGAAGAAGAAGAAAAGAATGAAAGAAGAATGAAAAGAAGAATGAGAAGAAGAAGAAGAATGAAAGAAGAAGAAGAAAGAAGAAAAAGAATGAAAAGAAGAATGAAAAGAAGAAGAAGAAAAGAAGAATGAAAAGAAGAATGAAAAGAAGAAGAAGAAGAAGAATGAAAAGAAGAAGAAGAAGAATGAAAAAAGAATGAAAAGAAGAGGAATGAGAAGGAATGAAGAATGAAAAGAAGAAGAAGAAGAGAAGAAGAATGAAAAGAAGAAGAATGAAGAAGAAGAAGAAAGAATGAAAAAGAAAAGAAGAAGAAGAAGAAGAAGAAGAAGAAGAAGAATGAAAAGAAGAAGAAGAATGAAAAAGAAGAAGAAGAAGAGGAAGAAGAATGAAAAAGAAGAAGGAGAGAGAATGAAAGAAGAAGAAGAAGAAGAAAAAGAAGAATGAGAAGAAGAATGAAAAGAAGAAGGAAAGAAGAAAGAAAAAAGAAGAATGAAAAGAAGAAGAAGAATGAAAAGAAGAATGAAAAGAAGAAGAAGAATGAAAAGAAGAAAAGAAAGAATGAAAAGAAGAATGAAAAGAAAAAGAAGAAGAAAAGAAAGAATGAAAAAAGAAGAATGAAAAGAAAGAAAAAAGAAATGAAAAGAAGAATGAAAAGAATGAAAAGAAGAAAAAGAAGAATGAAAAAAGAAGAAGAAGAATGAAAAGAATGAAAAGAAGAATGAAAAAGAAGAAGAGAAGAATGAAAAGAAGAAGAAAGAAGAATGAAAAGAAGAAAAAGAAGAATGAAAAGAAGAATGAAAGAAAGAAAAGAAAGAAGAAGAAGAAGAAGAAAAGAAAGAAGAATGAAAAGAAAAGAAGAAGAAGAAAGAATGAAAAGAAGAATGAAGAAGAAATGAAAAGAAGAATGAAAAGAAGAAGAAGAAGAATGAAAAGAAGAAGAAGAAGAAGAAGAAAAAAAGAAGAATGAAAAGAAGAATGAAGAAGAATGAAAAGAAGAATGAAAAAATGAAAAGAAGAATGAAAAGAAGAAGAAGAAGAATGAAAAGAAGAAGAAGAAGAAGAAGAATGAAAAGAAGAATGAAAAAGAAGAAGAAGAAAAAAAGAAGAATGAAGAGAATGAAAAGAAGAAAAGAAAAGAAGAAGAAGAAGAAGAATGAAAAGAAGAAGAAGAAGAATGAAAAGAAGAAATGAAAAGAAGAATGAAAAGAAGAAGAAGAAGAAGAATGAAGAGAAGAAAAAAAGAAGAAGAAGAAGAAGAAGAATGAAAAAGAAGAATGAGAAGAATGAAAAGAAGAATGAAAAGAAGAAGATGAAGAAGAATGAAAAGAAGAAGAAGAAGAAGAAGAAGAATGAAAAGAAGAAGAAAAGAAGAAGAAGAAGAATGAAAAGAAGAAGAATGAAGAAGAATGAAAAAGAAGAATGAAAAGAAGAAGAAGAAGAATGAAAAAGAAGAAGAAGAAGAAGAAGAATGAAAAGAAGAATGAAAAGAAGAAGAAAGAAGAATGAAAAGAAGAATGAGAAGAATGAAAAGAAGAAAAAGAAGAATGAAAAGAAGAATGAGAAAGAATGAAAAGAAGAATGAAAAGAAGAAGAAGAAGAATGAAAAGAAGAAGAAGAAGAATGAAAAGAAGAATGAAAAGAAGAATGAAAAGAAGAAGAATGAAAAGAAGAATGAGAAGAATGAAAAGAAGAATGAAAAGAAGAAGAAGAAGAATGAAAAGAAGAAGAAGAAGAAGAAGAAGAATGAAAAGAAGAATGAAAAGAAGAAGAAAAGAAGAAGAAAAAGAAGAAGAATGAAAAAAAGAATGAAAAGAAGAAGAATGAAAAGAAGAATGAAAAGAAGAAGAAGAAGAATGAAAAGAAGAAGAAGAATGAAAAGAAGAAGAAGAAGAATGAAAAGAAGAATGAAAAGAAGAAGAAGAATGAAAAGAAGAAGAAGAAGAATGAAAAGAAGAAGAAGAAGAAGAATGAAAAGAAGAAGAAGAAGAAGAATGAAAAGAAGAAGAAGAAGAAGAATGAAAAAGAAGAAGAAGAATGAAAAGAAGAAGAATTAAAGTACAACAAAAAGTGTATCTGCAGAGAGCTCCGCTATTTCTGACAGTTCTCTGACAGTTCCTTCACATTTACAGCGAAGTTTGCTAAAATTCGGATTCGATGCGAATCGAATTTTTCCTGATATTCGAAACGAATTCCACTTCGCCAGGTTCGATTCGCTCATCTCTAAATGTACTGTTGTCATTTTTATTTATAGATTTATATACTTCTTTATAAAGTTTTTTTTAGCTTTTAGCAAGTTCCAAATTAGATATTCAGCCTCACCCTAAATTCTAATACAACCTAAACTGTGGGTTCATAAAAACTTTAATATTTTGTGGATAAAACTTAGGACCTCAACAGACAAACTCTACATGTTGTATCCTTGGTAGCAGCTTCTGAGAGACCTTACCTTCTACATCATCTGACTGTCACTAGCAGAAGTGAAAGCCATCAAAAATTGAATATGATTATAATAATATATATTATTTCCATTGTATGAAACGCAGATCAACAATAAATAGAGATTTGGAGTAAAATTAAGTGATATTGCTAATCTGCAGCTTACTGTTCTTGCTGAAGGCTCTGACATAAGGAAGCAAAGCCCTGCTTCTACTATGGCCACCTCCATACAGCAACACAGTTCAGAGCAAGGCATGGTAAATCAATATTTTAGAAAAGAGCAGCTGCAGAGAGACCACAGGCAACATTAGGCAACTACTCCTTTTTTTTCTCCTTACGTACAGTCCAATTGCCATCTATACTATTAAAATATATACATTTTTTTTCAGACAATGACCTCTAGAGATCTGCTGCAATTGTTCATACCCGACCCAGTGAGTGGCATGTTGTTTGCAAGAAAACTTTTTATAATATTTAGATTTATTGTCGCTTTTTTTCTTTTACTCCTTCCCGCCTCCTCCTGGTAGCCCGTTAACTAGGTCTTAATGCTGGGAGGTGGGATGGACTTCCCAATCAAGTGATCACTGTGCTTTGGGTGCCCCAGGTGTTCCCCACCAAAAACAGAGACTGGGAGCTGGTCTCTGTGTTCTCTCTCAGCACAAAAACCTTGGCCATCATAAACGCTTATGTGCGATGTGTGGGCATTAAGGCGACACATATATGCATTGTGAGGTCAGAAATAGGTGAAAGCAGAATTAAATTACTTAAAAAAAAAAAAGAAAATACACCGAGCTAGAGTATGCAAAATCAATTTAAAAAAAAGAATCTTTCCCCACACACTACTTGCAAATTTTCTTTTCTTATTCTATGCATGCTTGCTTACTATGATGAGGGCACCCCCACCTCAATGTGAACTTAATTCCACTTTTAGGGCCAGCTCACGCAGGAACATGCACATTCCAGTGTGATCCCATGCATTCCTGTGCAGTTTTGACAGCCTATTCATCTGAATGAGGTGCAAAACACACTTGGAAATGGGAAAAGTAGTGCAAGAATAACTTTTTCAGAGTGTGATGCACCAAATCCCATAGTACTGTGGTACCATTCAAATTGGTGACTGCAAACGCGCTGTGTTTGCGAGATGCATTTATGATGCCATTAACAATTCTTTGGCACCAGAATGCCTCTGGCAAGGACAGCACATTCACATGCGGTGCAGGAAACCCCCACTGAACCAGTCTTTTCACATTCTATTTTGGTGTAACTGGTCCTAAAGTGATCCTATGTTTAACCATTAACTTGTCAACATCACAAAATGCCACAGAAAGAGTGGCTGGAGCAGAGGCTGAGGTCATCACACATTGATCCGGTCTTACTGGGCAGTAAAGTGGCATCTGTCTTCTTCTGTGACTTGAATTTCTGGAACCACATTGGAACGATGGCTCCCTTCTTTCATATACTGGTGGAGTAAAACTTCTCTCTCTCTAGCTTGGAGTGGCACTGCAAGCTGTCCTTACACATCACAAAATGCCTGTAATTAACTTTATAACTTTGAAACATTTTTCTGTGCCCTCTCTAATTTGTTTCTACTTTGTTAGCTTTGAAGACTAACCATGAAGGCGGGGAAAGTCAGGCACCTTTAAAGAAGAGAAACTTAATTATAGAAGAACATGAGAGAGGCCATTCACAAAACACACAGCCCCAGATTTTGTTTTGTGAATAGCCAGGAGCAAGGGCGGACTGACAACTCATGGGGCCCCTAGGCAATAGGGGATCATGGGGCCCCTGTGTCCTTGCCCAAACTAAAAAAAGCCTATGAAAAAGGTACCAGGGGCATCTCATGGGGCCCCTACTGACCCCGGGCCCTCGGGCGGTGCCCGAGTTTCCAAATGGTCAATCCGCCCCTGGCCAGGAGTAGCCAGGACTAATTTTCTTTGCCTGTAGCATATAAAGTATGTTCCAAGGAAAGCCAGCTTTAAACAGTTCAAATCAGAGATTCACAGCATGTATAGGCAGGCTGAATGTACTCAAGTTGGTTGATCAATCAGTTTAGGTACAATCAGTATTCAGATTTTGCATGCGATTATTGCCCCCGCCCCTCCTGCTGGGAGAACACAATGGGGTTTATTTATTAAAGCTGGTTCACTCAGAATCTTGTGCACTTCTGCATGAAACCCAATCAGCTTCCAGGTTTAATTGTCAAAACTTAATTGAACAAGCTGAAGTTAGAAGCTGATTGGCTACCCTGAACAGCTGCATGAGATTCTGAGTGAACCAGCTTTAGTAAATCCCCCCCAATGTCTCTGTGGGAGATATTCCCCCATCAACATTGACTGTGTTGATGGGGGAATCGAGCAATTTTCTTTCCTGCAACCCATGGTTGCAGGAAAGAAAATTGCTCCATCTATTGCCGTCTTAATCCTACCATGTGAATGTAGTTGGGACAGCTTGGAGACATTTTAATTCTATTTCTAACATTTTCACAAAACATGGCACTAAATGTACATATTGCCTCTTCTCAAAACATGGTATAAAATGAAAATGACATATTGCCACCCTGTATGATAATATATAAAAATATTTCTATAGAATTCCAGAAACCAGTGTGATCATCTGGCAGGAAAGGAGTTAAATGAATTAGTTTAAACATTAAAAAAAAAAAAAAAAGCTTTTGGGTAATTCCCTCCACACCAAGGAATAAGCCCCCACCTCGTGTACATATGTGTATATTTATGCATGTGATCGTGTTTGACAAATGTTTAACTTGAATTGTCTTGTCAGCTGTCATTTGCTTATTAAACAAGTTGCTAACATTTAAAGACCCAGACTCTCTTAGACAGTAGAAAAATATTTTTCTTTTTCAGATTTTTCTAATTCTCCCCACCACACTCCCTCCTTTCTTCTCTTCCTTTCTTCTCATCGAATTCTCCGTCAGGCTCCAGTTTCAGAGAAATATTGATGTAAAATCATTTTACGGCTGAGGACCTCTGACATGAAAGAAAATGAAGTTTCTGTTTATGTTCTCTCTCTATAGACTTTATTACAAATAAAAGTAAATGATCTAAATGAATACTGTAGTTAACAGTTTGACTACCAGGGACGCCAGCCCATGCCCACTTATTCTCTTTTACTGGGATGGGTGAAGGTCGTTGTGTGACCCAGTCTCTTGTTTGCCTTTTCTTCAGCACTGGTGGCTTTTTGTAATGTCAGAAGCTTGGCAGATGTGTGAAACACTACAATCTGAACATAAATATTTTCAGTTAGCAAAATCTGGAAAGTGTTCATACTTAAATTGAGGGAACAGGAGCAGAAAGCAAATTTAGCTGACACCATTGATTTGCACAGCTGAGAGGGTTATCTGACCAGTGACATAACCTTCCATGCAATCTTCTAAACAACACATATTGTATATCTTAATGCAAGTGTATCCTAATGTGTGATAAAGGTATTGAGACAGTGCTGGGCCCTGCTACTGTATGAAATGGCATGTACTGTAGGGTTCTCAAGGATGCTGATGGGCTCCAAAATGGCTATTATGAGCAGAGAAAATAGTGTTTTTTTTTTTTTTTTTTCTCCGGTTTTGTAGTTCCTGGACTGGGTTCTGGAGTCCAGAGACATCAAAGAGTCTTGGGAGGGACGAAGTCTGTAGCCCTATGTCCAGGTCTTACTAGAGACCAGCAGGCTGTGTGTGCAGATGTGTACAGCCCTAATAATCAGGGTCCTGACAGTAGATCAGGGCTCCACCAGGGAGACAGGAGGTGCTCTGCACAGAGGACAGGGTGTGGGCCAGAGCAGCATGGAGCTCCAAGAGAGAGAGCCAAGAGAGTGGTGCAGAGTTGTACGTGAGCACAGTGGTGCTGAGACGGTCTGAGGAACCTATTCATTTTCCCCCTTCTCATAGGCTCAAAGACATCAGTGGGAGCCATTGGCTCCCACTGCTGTCAATCACAGCCAGTGAGGAAAGAGGGGGGGCAGGAGCAAGCCGCACTCATGTGCATTCTCTGTACACACAGAGCAGGCTGGGAAGTGAACACGCACAAGCTGCTTGCTATGGTGGGCACTCAGTGGGGAGAGGAGCCAGGAGTGCCAGCTAGGGACCCGAAAATAGGAAGAGGAATGGGGCTGCTCTGTGCTAAACCACTGTGCAGAGCAGGTAAGTATGACATGTTTGTTACTTAAAAAAAAAGAATTAAGGGTTTACAATCATAATGCAATGGGATCAAAACAATGGCAATATATACTTATTTGATAACCAGCCATGGCATATACAGTTTGCAGAGTGGATCATTTTCAGCCTACAATTCAGACAAGGAAAGAAGTTTTGAAAACATGTTATTAGGTTAGTAGCAGGGGGACACAAACGATTATGGAGAAACTCTGTAGGAGCAGAGACACCAGCTGCTCTAACAACAGCTAAAAATATTGCATTACAGTGAAGCTGAACTCCAATTAAACATATAACTAGATAAAATACATAAACGCATGGCAATTTGTTTTCCTGTGAAAAGCATCAAATTCATGTTTGACCTGTTCTAAGAGTTACAGAGTTCTGCCACACAGCACGAGCCCTGTATGGCAGGGAAATGCTTTTTCTCTGATTTTTCTCTGTTTAAGTTCAGTAACACAGGTTTGATCTCTCCCCCAACTTACAAAAAAGTGCAGCACTAATAAAAAAACAATATGATAAGCATCACCAAAAGTATATAGATGCATAAAACCCTAATATCCATAAAATATATAATTGCAAAGTTCCAAAAATATATAAGGTGAGTATCTTCATCCAAAGAATGTAGGTCTGCCTCTTTCAATTAACTATGTTGACTCTCTCAGTTAGAGAAGTCAAAATGAGCCTGTATATGTAGAATCCCACACAGGAAAGAGTGACCCTCCTTTTGTATGGCTGGTCAATCAGCAATCATCATCATCTAAATTCCAAAGCTAACTGAAAATGTATTAAAATATACCATATACTCACAAGGTTAAAAAACATAAGCGCTTATAATGTAATGCAGCCAGACCCAGGACTCAGGCAGACTTCTTCTAGGCATCGAGATGCATGATGACGTCACAAAGGTTGGCTTCTCCTAACGCATTTTGTCACATCTAATGTTTTCCATGCCCCAGACGGATCATTCCTTCTCATATCAGCATGTCTCTTGTTAGCACATAAGCACAACTGATTTGCTCCTTGTGCTGCTTCTCCCTCTCACAGTCTGAGCTGTGCTGTACAGGTACTCTACAAAGTTGACACCAAGTCAAATTCAGGTGTTTAACCACAGTAAATGTGTTGCGGGTGGCAGCTACTGGCTAAGTGACATATTGTATTATCACCAGTTAGTATCCCTGATTACTGCTATGCCAGTCATATGATGACACTGTACTGCACTAGTGACCGTATGTAAAAACAATTGTGAAAAAATTATTGCATTTTTTTCAACTTCCAAAAATCATCTGACAAAATCAATTCAATAATTGATCAATTTTCAAATATGTATACCATAGTTTGTAGACTCTATAACTTTCACACAGACTAAATATTATACAGTACTCAGCATAAATGAGTACACCCCTTTTGAAAAGTAAGATTTTAATCAATATCTTAATGAACACAAGAACAATTTCCAAACTTTTGATAAAACTAAGTTTTATAAAACATTTGTTTAGATCATTACGTGAAAGTAAGGTTAATATATAACTTAGATTACAAAATCTTCAGGTTTACACAAATTAGTTGATGCAAAAATGAATGCACCTTGCAACAAAAACTACTACATCTAGTATTTTGTATGACCTTCCTGACTTGTAAGAACAGTACCAAGTCTTCTAGGCATGGAATGAACAAGTTAGCGACATATTGCAACGTCTGTCTTTTTCCATTCTTCAAGAAGGACCTCTTTTAGAGCCTGGATGGAGAGTGATGCCCAACTTGTCTCTTTGAATTCCCCATATGTGTTCAATTGGGTTCAGATCAGGAGACATACTTGGCCACTGAATCACTTTTACCCTGTTTTTCATCGAAATGTAACAGTGGCCTTAGATGTGTGTTTTCGATCATTGTCATGTTGGAAAAGTGCACAACGACCAAGGGCACAGAGTGATGGTACAGTACATCTGTAAATTCATGATACCATCAATGAAATGCAGCTCCCTGACACCAGCAGCACTCATGCAGCCCCACAGAAGGACACTGCCACCACCATGTTTCACTGTAGGCATCATGCATTTTTCTTTGTACTCCTCACCTTTGCGACGCCATAGAGTTTTGAAGCCATCAGTTCCAAAAACATTTATCTTGGTCTTATCACCCCAGAGTACAGAGTCCCAGTAGTCTTCTTCTTTTTCAGCATGGGCCCTGGAAAATTCTAGGCGGGATTTTTTGTGCATGGGCTTTAGGAGAAGCTTCCTTCACGGACAACCATGCATGCCATTCCTCTGCAACATATGCTGTATTGTGTTACGGGAAACAATAACCCCAGTTAGGCTTTATACTTCTTTCGCTAACTGCAGTGAACTTGTATGGTGATTTTCTTCAACCCTTCTCATCAGAAGACGCTCTTGTCAAGGTGTTAACTTCCATGGACGGCCTGGACTGTGAGATGGTTGCAGTTCCATCTTTGTTAAATTTTTGGATCACTTATGCTACAGTATTCTGACTGATAAGTAAAGCTTTTCTGATCTTGTAGCCTTCATCTTTCTTGTGTAAAGCAATTATTTTCTCATGCCTTGTGACATTTCTCTTCCATGTGGTGCCATTGCTGACAGCATGAAACGGGAAGGCATTTCTTTGTTAAGTAACTCCCTTTTTTATAATCAACTGTCTGCTGGACACCTGTTTAATGAATAGACTCACCTGTAGTTGAATTCTTGTTAAGTAGGATTTTAGCTTTCCTCCTAAGACTTTCATTGGGGTGTAATCA